CTTGGAGAAGAAGGGGTGGGGGAGTGGAGAAGGGAGGACAGGTTCCTAGAAAGAGGGTATACAGGGATCATGTAATCCAATTCAATAAGGCCCACACAGGCAGGAACTCCCCCCAAGGGTAGATGAGAGAACCTCTTCCACTGTCAATTCCTGTTCTCCACTCCCACCCAGGGGCCTCTCACATGTTGTGTCAAAGCTGCAGCCAGGATGCGAATAGCTTCAGCCTTGGCCTTGGCCTTGGCCAGAACTGCACTGGCCTCTCCTGGAAGAACAGAGAAGACAGAGCTTGACAATGAAGTCAGAGTACCCCAAAGCTCCCATCCCAGTACCCATGCCCTATTTTTCCCTCTGCCTCTGCCCTCTGCTGACCTGCTGCCTGATTTATTTGTTCAGCCTTTTCTGCTTCGGAGGCCAGGATCTGGGCCTGTTTCTTTCCCTCTGCCACATTGATGGCCGACTCTCGGGTCCCCTCAGACTCTAGAACTGTGGCCCGTTTCCGCCGCTCTGCCTCTACCTGGAAGCCACCATCAATAAGAAACCAGGGGAAACTCTTACAACAGACCTGCAACTACACCCATCATAATAGAAAGGGAGTCCAGGTCCCCTTGGGACTGGAGCATCCTGAGGTCCTTTTCCAACCCTTCCCTGGTCCCTACCTGCATCTGCATGGACTCTTTCACTCGGGGTGGCACATGAATATCCTTGATCTCATAACGAAGGCAGCGGATGCCCCAGCAGTCAGCAGCCTGGTTGATGGCATCCACAATGCTGGCATTCAGGGACTCCCGCTCCTGGAGGAAGACAGGTGTAAGCTCCACAGCCTCAACCCACCTATCAAGGGCCTAAGCTGAGAAGGGCCTGGGACTGATTTTGACCCCCAGAAAGGACTGAGTGCCAGGCATATGCCTTCAAACCCTAACTCTGGCTCAGAGCCACTTACCCGGAAGACTCTGTCCAGAGAGAGTTTGCCGAGCTCTGATCTCATGGTCGTCTGAGCCAACTGGGTGACAGCATACTCAGGGTCTTCCACACCATAGCTTGCCTGAAAAGGATATAGTGTTAGAAGCTTGGGTGCAGGATTTTAGTGAGGTGGGCAACTCAGAAGGCTGGATAAAGTGGGGGAAGATACCTTGTAAGGGTCCATGATGCGGAGGTAAAGGACTCCGTCGATTTGCAGAGTTACATTGTCTGCAGGAGCAGTAGAGAAAAGGAGGAAGGTCAGGCCTCTAGGTCCCAAATGGCTCTTTCTCCTAAGATCTGGATCTTCAGCAACCATATCCTAACAGTCTCAGAGCACCCCTGCCACTCGCACCCCCTCACCAAGAGTCACAGCCGACTGCTCAGGCACGTTGATGACAATTTCCTTGAGACTCTGCACGTATCGGATCCGGTCTAACACAGGGATGAGGATGTTCAAGCCCTGGGAAGAAGAGTCATGGGTTCTCAGAAAGATGGGGACTATGGGATTGGGATCTAAGCTAGTCCTGGAACAGGTAGAGTGTACACACATGGAACATGCCCATAAAAGCAGCAGCCTCTACCAAGAAAGAAGTCCTCAGAAGGCTGAGGTGTCACTGGTGGGGAAACCTAAGAGAATAGGAATGCAAAACTAAGTCTCTGAATGGAAGGGAGAGTCACGAGAATGGGAGTCAGCAGAATAGCCATCTCTAGGCAGGCAGGTAGGACTGAGAGGGTAGATGGGGGAGATTCCCAAGAATGGGGCCTGTGGGATGATAGGGCAATAGCAAAAGGTGGTAACATGGGGATGATGGTCAGCAGCTTGGGCCCCGCCCGGTCTGGCCTGGGGAGTCCGGAGCTAAAGGTGCAGGCAGGCCCCAAGGTGGTCCCACCCCCCACCCCCATGTCGTGAGAGATGCAGGCATCTGGATGGCCCAGGAAGGGCAGAAAAGACTCTCACAGGCTCCAGGATCCGGTGGAATCGGCCCATTCGCTCCACTACCCAGGCCTCCTGCTGTGGCACAAACAGTACCACGGTGTTTCGGGGCAATCCAGAGGAGGCGCGGTGCGGTGTGCGGCCAGAAGCCTGCACAGAGCCCTGAAGGAAAGACGAAGGTGAGCAAAGATCCCAACAAACCTGGCACGCCGCCCCTCTGTACTGGAGGTATCTCCCTAACCCGCGACTCTCCAGGGTCCTTGGAGAGGGACTCACGTGGGGACCATGACCTGTGACCCCAGTCCTCTTCCAAAGTTGGAATCCCGCCCCTTCCCAACTGAGGGACCAGCTGATCTCCGTCCCGACCCTTCGGAGAAGGTTGCCTCGCTCTCACCCTGAGCAAAAGGGCCCCAGTGCCCCGCGCAGCGCGCGCCAGCATTTCCCACGGCCGCAGCGACCTCCGGAACCAACGAGACACGGGGCAGAGCGGTCGCTCCAAACGCCGACACGAGCCTTTCCTCCTGCAGTTCCACTCCCCCAGATGTACTTCCGGCCGTCCCTTCCCCCATTCACACTCACCCAATCAGCGTTACTTGGTAGAGAGTGTATCAAGTTGTTCCCTGGGAAACGCAGACCTTCAGGAGAGGGCCCAAGGCTGGTCCTTATTCTGGTTCTTGCTGTTCGAGCCCTAGATCCCGGACCGGATGGCCGAAATGGAGGCTACTTTCCGCGTGCATGTGACCCAGAGACACTTCCCACCAAGTTCTTTACCCCGATCCGAGACTGAGTTTACTCTTCAGAGCGTATAATTGCCCCCATCTGTCGCCATAGCGACCAGTGGATTGGCGCTGACTCGGTGCCATGGTTGCCATAGTGACATTATCTGGTAGTCCTGCTGTGTTGTGCCCAGCCCTCCCACTGGGGACTGACCCAATCCTGTTGCCATGGTAACTGGGCCTAACATTGCCCGGTGATTGGGCCGAGGTTTTCTCCTCCCCTCTTTTCTCAAGGCACCACAGCTCCTTCCGTCTCTTTCTAAGCTGTCTATTAGGCCTGGTCCCCTTGTATAGAGTCCAGCAAACAGCTTCAACGTTCAACCTTGTCTGGAGCGTGTCACTGTACACATCCCTGATCCTATGGCACATCCTCGAGACCTGCAATAATCACCCTCATTTTACATGGGGCACTGAATTTCTGAGGGGTTTACGTCATTAACAGGACTAGTATTAATATAAGAATCCAGATCCACGTTCAGGAAATTCAGCTTCTATGGCTGAACTTTACCCACTCCCCAACCCCCTTCGCTATCTAAAAAGAGCCAAGACCAGGCCCCATGGGCTCAGGCCTGCTGCCCCCTCTCTGGGAGAAAGGGCAGAGTCCCAGCTCCAGTTAGGCTCTCCATCCCCCTTCATATCCTCTCCCCAACAGAAAAAGTAAAGCTTAATTCAAGTTTCCAAACAAAAATTTATTCTTTCTTTTTTATTTATTTTTTTCTAGAAAAAGTACCAGGTACAATTTTTTCCTGTTTTTTTCATTTTGTTTTGTTTTTTCCAGTTTCAGCAAATGCTTGTTCCCCTCAGCCCAGCCCCAGGAGTCAGGACTGAGGCTGGGTTAGAGTCTGGAGTGGGGAATGGGGTAGTGTTCTTTTTCTTATAATAGAGGCCTGTTACTCTGCACACAATTCTCTGTCATTCAGTTGTTTGTTTTAATTGAATTATAGTATCAGAGAATGAGCATTATAGTTCATTTTAAATTTGACCTCTTTTGACCAATAAAAAAAACAGCAGGGTGACAAATCCTTTACTAGTCAGCTTTTGTTATAAGCCATTTTCTCTCACTGGTGTGATACCTTGATTTCAGATTCTTTCAAAGCTGTAAATTTAAGTGTCCATACCTCACTTTTTGAGGGGCTTTTGTCTTTTCTCCTCATTTCTTTCATTAATAATAGTATATTCTTTCCTCCTTGAAAAAAGATGTTATCCCTGGTTTTTAGCTGCTGTGGTGGATTTTAAAAATGGCCATAAATCATTCTACTCCTTCTGTCTATGATATGTGGTAGTGCTCCCCCACACTGACTCTGGGCTGGCCTTGTTATTTCCTTTGGCCAATGGGACATTAACAGACATGATGCAAGCAAATGCTTGGGAAAGTGTTTGTTCACTGGGGCTTGCTTTCTTGCTGAGTTTTGAAACTCTGTAATCACCACTATATGAATGAGCTCGGGTTAGCCTGCTGGATGAGGAGAGATACATGGCTAAGTCATCCTTATCATCCCAGCTGATATTCAGCCAACCGCCAGACACGTGAGTGAGGTCATTCTAGACCACTCAGTCTCATCCAAGTTAGTTCAACCAGAAGAACCACATATAGCTGACTCACTGAATAGTGAGAAATGAGAAATTTTTGTTGTAATACATTTTTGTTTTAAGCCACTAATTTTGGGGCTTAAACATGACATAACAAAAGCTAACTGATACAACCTAAATAAATAAAATTCTATTACAAAAAAGGCTTTTATTTTTCCAAAACAATGTCATGAAGAAAAGAAGAATCAAAGAACTGTTCCATATTTAGAGGAGAGTAAAGAGGAATGAAAATGAAATGTTAGTGTCATACTGGATTGGATCCTGGACTGAGTCAGGGAAATGCTCTAAGGACATTGTTGGAACAATTGATAAAATTGGAATATGGACTGTGTAATAGATAAATGTATTGTGGTATTAATTTTCTTAAATTTGATAATTATATTGTGGTTATGTAAGAAAATATCTTGTTCTTAGGAGATATACACTAAAGTATTATGAAGCAAAGTGGCATGATTTATGCAACCTACTCTTAAATAATTGAGGAAAACTAATAAGGTGTATGTATATGTGTGTGTGTGAGAGAGAGAGACAGGCAGAAACTGAGACAGAAAGAGAGGCAGAGAGAGAGGGAGGAAGAGAGAATTACAAAGCAATTGGCAAAATGTTCAAAACTGATCAGTCTGGGTAAAGTTATATGGGGGTTCTTTTTACTATTCTTGTGTCTCTTAAGTTTAAAAATATTT